TAATCGACTGAAAACTATCTGTAAACCTCTGCTTGTGAATGCAACCATCTGTGTGTTCCTCAAGTCCACATTTTATTTAAATAGAAATTCATTAAGGGGATTAACAGTAGGAACAGCAACAAGATGCCACAGGTTCTGCTCACCCCAAGGAGTGAGACTGCACACTGCAGGAGGCTGCACAAGGTGCAGGGCACTGGCTGCAGGGCAGGTGTGGGGAGAGGAGGCCCGGGGCCAGGGGGCACCGTGTGCAGTGGGTCCTTGGGGACCTGTAGGGCTGATGAAGGCTCACAGGGAGCAGCACAGGGAGCAGTGCCTCTGAAGCTGGTAATGCCATGTGCAAACAGCTCCCACTGCCTGCTGCCAGAGTCAGTCCCTAAAAGAACTAAACCTAAGTTAAGAGGTTGTTCTCTCCCTGATTTTCTGCACAACTTGCTATGCCTCTCCCACAGTGACTTGGAGTTGTTTGAATTTAACCTGGCACACCTCCACCTGATGTGCATCACAGGCCTCGGAGAGGCTGCGACCATTCGTTCGCCCCAGCACAGTGCCAGATGCCTCCTGCTCGGCAGCCGGGTCTTCCTTTATACAGCGTAAACCTACACTGATTTTTTTTCTTCTATACAGAGACGTAGTATGCTGGCCTGGAGTTCAGGTTAACTGGGACATGAGTGAGGTAACTGTGCAAAAGAAAACTCGGTCAGCTCCAGCCAAAACATTGGCACTGCAGACAGCCTGGGTCACTGAGCCTGCTGCCTGCAAGGGCAAGCCGTGACAGTTCTGTTTCCTTTCAAGGTCAAGGGAGATTAGATGGAGCTCTGTGCTCTTTTTCCAATGAAAAAAAGTTGGAGTACTTAAAGCGAGCTTATGATGCTGGTGTGAGAAACATTGAAATGGAGTCGACGGCATTCGCTGCGCTGTGCGGGCTGTGCGGGCTGAGAGGTGAGTGCTGCCCCGGGCTGCCCTGCTCCTCCCTGCAGGGCCTGGGGCTTTGGTGTGTTATGAGCTGATGTGAAGGCCAAAATGCATTCCTAGCAATTTCCATTAGAAAAAGTACACTGAAACAAATGCCACGGCTCAATAAAAAAACAAGTTTGTTTCAAAAGGCCCAAGTACCTGTTGGGTAGAGCAGGAAGTACTGCCTCACCCCTCTTGTGGCCTGGGTGCACCCTCAGCTGCAGCGATGCAGCCACGTCCCAGCTCACCAGCCTCGCGCCCACCCCACACCTTGTGATGCCCCGCCTCAGGCAGCCCCCAGCAGATCCCAGCACAGCCCGGGGGCCATTCAGCTACCCATGCAACGCAGCACTTGGGCCTTCTTGCAGCTGCCGTGGTCTGCGTAACGCTCCTGGACCGGCTGGAGGGGGACCAGATCCGGGCGTCCCACGAGGTGCTGCAGGAATACCAGCAGCGGCCGCAGCGCCTGGTGGCGGCCTTCATCCGGAGACGCCTGGGGCTGCATGCTGCTGCAGGGAACACACGGCCTTCCAGCGACTGAGAGCACTGCCATCCCCACGCCACCGGGGGACCAACCCGCACCACGGGCAAGTGGACCTGGAGAGCAGGAAAGACAGACTGGGGGGCCGCGCGTCCCCAGAGCTGCAGAGGCACTGCTGCCTGCGAGCAGGGGAGGTGTAACTGCAAACACTGCTGTGCTGGTGTGGTGGGTGTCAAACTGCTGGAATTGCATCAGTGCTGCTCAGGAAATAAGAGCGTGCCCCTCTGGCTCCTGCCCTGTGGATGGAAGGACTGTCCTGCAGGGTGCCCTTGCCCCGTGCCCCTCATCAGGGGAACACGTTGCTCCTGGCGCAGTGCTGATAGCTGAGCAAATGGCACACACAGCTCATCTGCTCTGTGAGGGCTGCTGCTCCTCGCTGCAGTCAGTAGGGCTCTCGGACTCATGTGGCCTGATGAGCTCTGTGGGGCCAGAGCCCAGCCCAGGAACCCAGTGGGCAGGGAGCATCTCTGCCACCAACCAACAGGGATGCAGGCAGGGTCTGTGAGCACTGCCCCATGCTGTAAGAAGGCCAAACTGCTCGTGGGTGGGGTGGAAGGCATTGCACCGGGGTTACACATAGCACAGCCAATTCACCACTGACACCGCTTCCAGTTTTGAAGGCTCACTTACAAGGTTGCTTGCAAATAAATCTTGGTGTTTTTAGAACAGTGACTTACAGGATTCAAGAGTTCAGATAAATAAAAGTATTACATATTACGGAAACTCAAGATGGTATCTCTAATATTATTAAAAGGGGGGGTTGGACTCGATGATCTCTGGAGGTCCCTTCCAACCCCTACAATTCTGTGATTCTGTGAAAAGCACAAAACAGTTCAGCCTGAGGACACTTATCAGCATTCTCCAAGGGGCCATTTGTGCAGTACTCGGTCTCACCCCGCGACCTGATTCAGTGACACCTGAATCACAGAATCACAGAATGGTTGGGTTGGAAGGGACCTCAAGGATCATGAATCTCCAACCTCCCCTGCCACCCACAGGGCCACCAACCTCCACTTTTCATAGCAGCCCAGGCTGCCCAGGGCCCCATCCAACCTGGCCTTGAACACCTCCAGGGATGGACGGGGCATCCACAGCCTCTCTGGGCAGCTGTTCCAGCACCTCACTGCTCTCATAGCAAAGAACTTCCCCCTGACATCCAACCTCAATCTTCCCTCAACTTCAAACCTTTACCCCATTTCCTCCCACTGCATGGCCCCCTCTGATGGCCCACCTGGGTCCCACTCACCCTGGTCTCCCCACCACCTCACCCTCACGCTCTGCTGCAGAGTTCCCTGCAGCATCGCAGCCTCCCAGCAGCACACTGACTGCCATCACACTGGGTCAGCACTGGGAGCACACAAACTCCACTTGTTTCAGAGAAGGAGCCTGGTTCTGAGTTTGCCTTCCTGGACTTCAGTTTTCAGGCACAAATACTGATCTGAAGGCTAAGGAAGAGCAGGACTTGAGCTAGTGTCCTTCAGTCACCCGTTACTGACATGCAATTTAACCTGCAGTTCAAGCTCAGCTCTGCAAAGTCCAACGTCCACTTCAAGAACCTCGTGTACTAACCATAAGGTACCTGAGCTCTTAGTGAAAACTACTCCAGGAAAAGCAACACGATGTTTAACATTCTGCCCAATTTGGTAGGGGTTTGCTTTGCTGCAGCTGACACAGCTACAGCCCTGATCATTTGCTCTGCAGGACACAGCCACTTCTTTATTTTCTACAATGTGGTGCAGTTAAGACTCTTCAATCATTCCGCTTCTAACTTAACGATTACATTGGGAAATGTTTACTCTGTTGCACATTCTGACACCCCCCCAAGGTTTCGCATCAGTCAGTTAATGGCTTATAGGGCTCAGCACCTCCGTCTCTGGGAGCTCCTTTCAGAATGCAAACCATCCAGTACAGCCGCCTGCTTCCCAGGGATCAGAGCCAGCACTGCAGCCACTCACATTGCTCTTCTATACATACAAACCCAAAAGCACACATAAGCTCATGTGCACATAAGCTGGCACAAGCATTGTGTTTCTGCAGCAGTTGGTACCGCACCGACTCATCCTGCAGCTGTGGCATACTTGACTTTCAGGCACCAGTTAACACTTGAGCCACTTCTGACGACCAAAACTGACAGCTGAGTCGTACATCTTAAAGTGGAGTGACTTCATTTTCATAAAGATGTTGTTCTCAGGCCTCAGAATATCCAGCAGCTGAAAGTGAGTGGAAGGTCTCAGTGATGAAGCTGATGGTGGAAAACAGGGAAGAAGCAGGTGGGCCCTTGGCCACCTCAGATATCACCGAGCATGGCCAAAGGTGCATTAGCATGTATTAATGAGTCCTTGACAAAGAATGAATCTGTATGCCAGTGTGCTGCATAGGGACATCTGAACTGTTGCAGAGTAAAACCTGAACTCCAGAAGATCAAACTGCTCGTCACCTGGCCCGGTGCACCTGGTGAGCAATAAAGGAATGCCTCTTTCTAACACCACACTGGAGTTAGAGAGTTCTTCCCAGATTTCAGATGACACTACTGAGCCCATTCTCTGCAAAGCAGCACATGTGACAGCATCCACCATACTGCTTATAAAACAGAGCCCCTTTTTTCAAGAACGATTTTCTGCTTCGTGTAAACGTTGTTTCTCCATAAGCATCTCACTAGTTACTTACTAGAGACAATTACAGTTTCACAAGATTTTGCACCACTGAGATTGTCTTCTGGATCTGCCTTTAAAGGCGAGAAAAAAAAACACTGCCTTAAGTATGAGACCTTCTGTTTTTGGGAAGCCATCGGGAGGATTTATCCCTGGAGCCAATCTGGTCTCCAGAAGCAAAGCAGTGCTGGCCTCCTCTGCTGGAGCAACCAACAAGCTGCCCAAGCATGTGTTAAAAATACTGAGTTACCTCGAACAAGACACCAAATTAAAATGCACAAATATGCACTGAATTGCAACGAGACAAAATGCAGAGGATATTCAGCTTCCGCTGCTCTTGAGCAAGCAGTCTCTGCAGCATTTCAACCCCAAGCAAAATAACTCAGATTCACTTCAGTACTCAGATTACTTTGCTTCGATTTAAAGCTGCCCATTGCTGCAGCCTGCAGCACCCGCCCTCCCCTGGCTTTGTGATCCCTTCCTCAGTTCTCTGCTTCTGTTTTCACAGCCTCACCCACCCACACCAGAGCAAACCTCCCTCCCTGGGCACCAACCCCCCTCCTGAGGTCAGGATGCACTGCTACATGTTGTCAGCATTACCTTCAGTGCAAGGTGTGAAGAATGGAACATCGCCTGTCAGATTGCAAGGCGCTCGGTGCAGAGCTGCTGAACCAGTCATCAGGAAGGACGGCCTGCTGAGGAGGGCAGCAGCCAGCACAGCTCTGCAGACGGGCTCTGCTGGCAGGGCCTCCAACATCCTCACCTGCAGATCCTCCTTTGGGCAGCAAGGAATCACTGCTTCACAGGGCCTTGAGGATGTGTGTCCCATTAACGCCTGTAAAGCATCACAATATTAGGCTAATTAAGTTCCTCTAGTTAACTAGATATGCAAATACGGATGTTCAGATCTTTCTGACATTTATTGTCCTTAGGAACTCTAGGTTAAGCTCCTCGCTGTAACTTGTTTACATACAGAATACATTTTACAGCCATCTTATGTGAGGCTTGAAAATGCAATCAGTTACGAAATGAGATGACATCAATTTACTTTAATTGAAGAGGATCACACGCAGTGGAGTCCACTCCAAAATAAAAATCCCGGATCTGAAATGGCGTTTATAATGTATAATTCATTCTGAAACACTGCCAATACAAAATTGCTTGCATGACTGGTTTCCAGTAAGTACAACGCAGCAAACTGGTTTCTAAATATAGACAAAGGTTAAGTTCCTTCTGATCGTCATCAAGGAATAGCAGAAAGATCTTATAATTAAAAGAATCAAATTCTCAGGCAACCTGGAATGAAAGCCACGTGGGATGTATTTGTGCACCACGATACAATCTAAGTCACTGCAAAGCCTTTGGGGTCTGCATTGCCAATTAAAAACCAGAATTCCAAACCACGCTACGCAAATTGACCAGCAGAGTTGGCAGAGGTCTTTGCCATCAGTGCTGATCTCCTGCTGGGAAGAAATACGGGAATCCTGCAGCATGGGGAGTTGAAGAGCAGCCCACCAGAGCTCCTCAAAGCCTGCACCCAGGCAGGGCTCAGATGTTGCACCGAACGCTGTAAGGAAAGGCACGTCCTTTTCTTGAATGATTGCACACAGTGACGACCCAGCAGCTCCATGACACAGCCAGTGAGAATTTGTTGAGAGTTCTACTGTTACGGCCCAGATGACACCTCTGAAGCTTCTCTGCTCTTGACACACAAAGCGCTCTACATTTTAAACACTGTAGATTCCATGTCTCTTCTTGGAAGCTTCAGTGGAGGAATTTTTGGCAAAATCTCTTTTGCATAAAGTGTTTTATGAAGTCCAGCTTCTCGAAGAGCTAACTCGACACGAAGCCTGGGGTCAGAAATGATCTGTTAAAATAAACCACAGCAATGATGAAACAAAACCCTACTTTCCTCACTTGCACTGCAAGTAAAGATAAACTGAAAGGCTATTTGTGAATGCACATATAGACACATACATTATTATTTTATATTTATATTATTATATAATATAATACATATATATTATATATATATATTTATATTATATATTATTATATGCTATATATGTTTGAAACAGAAGGGTTCAGAAGGTGATTAAAAATGTCTTGGTCACAAACAGAGCCTTTGGAAGCGAAGAAGTTCACTGGTGAATAACTCACTACACATAGTTTGATATCATTCTTTTTAAGTACTAATGATCACAATCTGTGTAAACAAAGAGCTCTGGTTTTCAGTCCTCATTGTGGCTCAGTTCAAAGTGCAAATGAGAAACTGAGAGAACTCAGCCTGCTCAGGAAAAGGATTCTGACTTCTCTGATGTTCTCCATCAATGCAACCCTGCTTTCAGGACAAAACTTTTAATTCTTCCTGGGTTTTTTTGCCTTTTTCCCTATGGGATATTAGCACTTCAAATGCACTTAGGATTTTTTTTCATTGCACTGCTTAGTGACTGCATGGCAGTACCACTTCCATATCTGTAACAGCAAGTAAGGCCCAGGGAAATTAACGCTAAGATTTGCCATGAGGTTATCTGACAAAATGCACGGCCCCTTTCAGCTCCCTTGGCCGGGTGCTGGGTGTTGGCAGGAGCAGAGCAGTGCCCACGACCAGCTGAAGTGGGCAGCACGTTCTGAGAACCCACAAATCAACCTCACACGCACCTCTTCAGAGCACGCTCAAGCCAGGCTTTTCCAAACCTCACAACATCCATTGGATTTGGGTAAATTTTCTTAGCCAAACAAAGAGCCTTGCATTCGAAACCATTCCCATTCTGGAATTTGGAAATGATACTGACAGAAAGAAGAATGCTATTATGTAGTTCTGTGGCATAAAAGCTTTATTTTAGCATTGAATAAGCTGAAATGTAATGATGTCTATTACCATGCTTGCCCAGCACTTCCCTTTTTAAGACATTTTAGGGCTTCTCAGTTCCGAATGCATACACTGACAGATGGAGAGTAGTAAAAAAAACCAGAACATCTCTCCCTGTGTCGCTTAACTTCAGTTGAAATAGAGTTAGCACTGTCCTCAGCAGAGCAGGCAACCTGAAAACCACCTCACTGCTTACCCCTGACTGGTTTCTCCTTTAGCCAACGCAGTAAGGAGGACTTCCATTTCACGTCAGACACTTAGCACAACACCTGCAGGAGCAGGTGAATAGGAGGCACTTTTTAAAGTGAGCGTGTAAAAGCATGAACGGGGTGAGTTTAGAAATGGAGCAATAGCAAAGCACTCAGCAAGCAGTCGGCACCCAGCTCCGCATCCTCCCCACTGGTGGGAGATGTGGCTCAGGGACAGCAGCACAGCCCCTGGGGCACTGTGTGTGTGTGTGTGTGTGTGTGTGTGTGTGTGTGTGCATGCTGCTGTGTGCTGCAGCACTGCAGACTCCTGGGCACACAGCTGGCTCCACGCATTGCTCCTAAGGATTTCAGTTTCATGTACATTGTGTTCTGTGTTCTGCCATTAGCGTTACTGTTTCAGCTACGCACCCTTTACCACCTATTGTTCTCACAGTACGGTTGCATACAATAAAGCATGCAGTATAAGGACAGGCTATTACCTGCTCTTCACTGTATGTCTGCAACTGAAACAGCGGCTTCTGAAGAACAAACTCTTCTGTGGACCCAACGCCCATCCGAGCTTTAGATGCTGCAGTATCAGCCACCACTCTCGCTGGGTCTGGTTTTGCTACGATGGAAACCTAAAGCACACAAATGAAAACAAGCGTTACAGTCTGTGCAGGGGCACGGTGGTATCAGTAACACACAGCCCTTGAGAACACCATCGCTGACATGGTTTAGAACCTTAAACCAACCTGCCTCCATACATAAGTGCTGTAAAGCCAGAAAGTTGAGCCCAGAGCCTGTGCATCCCCCCAGGGGCACAGGACCAGGTCCCACCGCCAGCACAGCCCTGTGCTCTCTGAATGCTGCCAGCAGCACAGCTCCCAGCCAGGCCCTGCCAGCAACCTCCAAGTGCTGTAACACAGAACAGAGGGGAAGATGCAAGGTGTGAATGCAGGAAAACTGCCTCAGACCAAACACTGAAAACCACTTTGATGCAGTGAAACTCAGGGAGATTTTTTCCAGCTTCCCGATAGAGACAATTTAATTGCCTAGACTTCATATAGCACTGTGCATGACTGGTAAGTGCAGGGCTGCCACAGCCTGGAGAACTGCCTGCTACACGGGCAGGCTGCACACAGAGCACCTGCACACTGTAAATGCCAATGCCAGTCCTTACAAACTGAAATAAACCTGAAAGCCAAATGGCATTTCTATGAAGAGAGAGCTCATGATGCTAGCTCACAAATGCTGTGGGGAAATAAGCCTATGTTGAACTCCAGGTGACCAGAGGACAGCCCCTCCTGAGGACAAGCACCACTGCTTCGTGCCATAAGGGCAGTGCGTGGCCCTGGGTGCAAAGGAGACCTCAGGGGTGGTACGACAGCAGTGCCAGCATCTGCAGCTCTAGCACAGATTGACACGAGATCTGATGTTCACAGCCCATAACCAGAAGCAGCCAGCAGGCTCAGTTTAGCCCCGTCCATATTTCTGGACATCTCAGTGCACTTTAACTTCTTAATATTCTTCCTGTCGGTTACAAAGCATGTAAGATTTATAGCACGACAGAATCAACATTAACATCAGACCCGGAGTGCATTTTAGCTCCTTCATTTATTTGCTTGTGGTGTAACATTTTGTTTTACCTTCCATGTAGTATGTCAGCATGTGCTCTGTCTCTACTGCATCTGAAAATACCACACGTAAGAAATAGAAGCACCTTTTGTCGAAGTGCTTCCAGGCATTTCTCTTTCTCTTCTGCTGCACAGGCTTCTCGAAGGGCCTCCTCCTTTTTCTCCAGGATCCGCTTTTCCAGCAGCCCTTGTCTAAACTCCACCCTGTAAAACAGCATGCATACAAACAGGAAAACTGGTCAAGTTTCACTTTAAAGTTGTTACTTTCCAATTGAAAACTAGCCTGATGCTCTCTTATGCCCACCATCAAAATTCCTGACAAACGCAAAGAATGCCATTCCCTTTATATATTTTTTATAAGTTGGTTAACCTTTCAGACTTCATTTCTACAACCCTAGCTCTTCTCTAGCAAGCTTTAAGCTTTATAGCACCATTACTCACTTTTTTCCATTTTCTTTGCCAAGAAGAAATGTTCTCTGACATCTGTGTATGGCAGCACAACTGTTCCCTATAGCCCTTCTCATTTAAAGAAACAAATCCCTTCCAAGAAGCAAGAAAACTCATGAATTAAAAACTTTCTCCGAAGGAACAAACGGAGCTCAGCACAAATAGATCCCGAATCTTCACCTACAGCACTGCCTTCACTGGTCAGCTTCCTGCAGCAGGTGTTTACAGCCCTTGAGATACCACTGCCACCATACCACCATGCTTCCTTCTACTTCTCAGCCCGCTGCCAAAGTCTGTTTCTCACGAAGCTGCAGGACGTTCTGTGGTGCATCACTGGCAGCCTTTCACACAAGCTGCTGTTGCCACCGTTTGCCTTCAGGGAAGCACAGAAATAAGGGCTGCTTCAAGGCAGCAGAGCTGCTGTCGTTGCTCTCAACGTTTCGTTGCTCCAAGGAGCACACGTGCTGTGCACTGCACGTACTGGAACTGAATGCGTAGTTGTGCTGGTGGCTCCAAAAGAGCACTGCAGCCACAGCCCAATAACAACTACTGGGACAAATATGTTGGTGCTAAGAGAGCAGTACAAAGCAGCTCACGGATGCCCTGGAGAGGCTTTCCACATCCCTGTATGGAATAGAATAGAATCATAGAATCGCTCAGGTTGGAAAAGACATTAAAGGTCATCAAGTCCATCCACAACCCAACCATACTGCCCTAACTCTAACAGCCCTCTGCTAAATCGTGGCCCTCAGCACCACATCCAAACACTTTATAGAATCAACGCTCGCAATGGAAATCTTTACAGGTCATTTTTTTTTTCCCTGGGAGAAAATTTAATCAGATTTTCATATGCAGAATATTTAATAAAAAGCAGAAATATTCTTTGAAAATGACAAAATTATTTTATATCAAAAATCCTTCACTCTGCTTGAGCCGACTGCTACGAGTTCTAAAATACTCCAGTGTTATCAGATACAAAATTCAACCGCTTGGGAACTTCTAAAACTGAGGGCACTCATTCAGGCCTAAGCTCACACATTTTGCTGCAGGAGTTCTGATTCACATCAGGGTGTGAAGCTGCGATAAAGTCAAACCCAGTGTGAAGGTGCCAGTGACTGGAAATGAATAGCAAGGCAGCCAACAGGCAGAGTGGGGCAGCGAAGGGACCCAGAGTATTGTTGCTGTATAAAATTAAGTGAGATTGATTTTATACAAAGCTAAAAATTAAGGTATTTCAATACTCAATTTTGATTCTAAGTACCACTCTAAGTACTGATTTTAATGAATCTCCAGCTGAAAAACAAGCTGAGCTGCTCAGGCTCAGTAAAACCACCTTGAAGTATTGTGGGCACACACTTATGTAACTTTGGACAAGCAGAATTTCACTAAAACTCTGCTTCAACACAACACCTCATATATGTTCAATAGGAAAAAAATGGACTACAGCTTATTGGGACAGATACAGTTGGAATTGGGAGGGGAGGAGAAGGTTTATAACACAGGTGGCATTTTTGCATGTATCAGAACCTACCTTATTCCCTGTGTCAGTTCAATAAACACCTCATTCATATTTAAATCTCTGCTTTCAGTGGGCCACATGCAGACACGCAGTGCTCCCAGCATCTTGTTTCAGAGCCTTTACTCCTTCAGTTTGGTCACAGCCCTGGTTATCCAGCATCTCATGCTTACCCGGTGAGACCTGAACACAGCAGCAAGTCTGGGATATATATTTATATTCAATCATTATTTTATAAGCCCAATTGCTTAATTTGAAATTAAACACAGAAACAATTCGGGATAGGGGCAGAACATTTCTTGGTATCCGATTGCACCCATTAGAAATGCTCTGTGTCTGCCCATGCTGTATCTCCTTCTTGGAACAGCCAGCTGGCTCACACCAAATCTTCTCCTTTCCCAAAAGAGCCTGAGGACATATCAGGTCACAATTGCTGTGCTGCTCTGATCCATCTTTTACAATCAGCTCTGCAAAGACTTAAAGACGTGTTGTGTTCTGGAACAGGCTAAGCTTGTGAGGATACAATGAGTTGCTGTAGGACTGCAATTCTTCACTGTGAAATCACTACACCAGCACCCTGCCTTCAGTACAACACGTGCCTGATGCCGTGCCAGTAGCACTACAGCTCCTAGTAACAGAAACACCTCTCTGCCCCTATTTGATTAATATTTGTGAAGGCTTTGGAGATGAAAAGCACAGAGCATTAGTAATCTCCGCAAAGAGCAAGCATTTTCCTTTAAACTGTTTTATTTTGTACAGTATGCCGATTCAGGGAAACATAATGCTGAGCATTTGCTGACGTTTGATTCATAATAGCCTGAAGGTATGATTGTTTCCTCCCTGCATTCCTCAATGAACTGTGCCATTTCCTTATATTTTATCCCGCAGCGTTTATTACCATAAGAAAAGAACGCTCTCCAACTGCCTGGCACACTGCAGTGTACAGGTTTAAAGAAAAGTCATTTTCTCCTATTCTGCTCTGCTGAAAACTCAGTAATTCAAGCCCTGTATTTCCTCTGCTCTTGGCTAAAACCAGTGCCAGGTACGTTTGAGGCAAGTGTAGGAGTACTCCCAGCATAAACCTAAACTCAGCTGTCAGAGAGGCACCGTAGCAGAGTCAGATGGAAGCAGTGTTTCACCATGAATGACTACAATAAATTTCAGTCTTTAAAAGTCAACTGAACTACGTCTCTATTTTAATTCCATTTCCAGTCTGCTCACCTGGCGACTCATTTCATGTAAAAAGGCAAACTTTTGATTCGAGAGCAGTTATAACCAGACTGCATACAATGGTTTTTTAATGGTCCTCCTTCCTTCAGCAGGTCATTAGAGACCACATTCCACAGAGAAGACTTGGCACAGGTTGAAACACAGACAGGCTCAGCCCATTCATCAAACAAGCGAACAGCAGCTACCAGGAATGCGCTGCAACGTACATCGTTTGTATTTCAGTTCCACCCTTAGAAGCATTCTGGTTCCCACATACAGAAATCACCACCAAGATTTTCTCACTGGTATTGGTTAAAATCCTAAATGCAGTTTGCTTGAGAAGAAGAAAGCAAAGAGTTCCATGGAAATACTTGATCCAGTGCAGTAACATTTACTGTGTCAACAACTGAGAGCTCTTAATGCAGAGCAAGAGCAACAGCTTTTACTAGGTCTGAATACTCAACACTGAGTAATTATTTGATTATCTCAAAATTCAGGGACACAATTTAAGGTTCTCTGAAAGGATGATAAATGTCTTTAAGGCTGCAGATGCTTGATGTGCTCCCCTTGCTGCCTTCAAACAAAAACACACCTGATCAATATGGAAAATAGCACAGAAGGTTCAGCTACCCGTCCACAACACAGCGAGCATGAAGGGAGCTGGACTTCATGTGTGTGCCCTGCTTTGTTTGCAGCTGTTCATTGCTTACATGGCTCTGATGCTGTGACTGATTTGAATTAATTTAAAAGAAGAAATAAATTGCATTCAGAATACAGCCATGATGCAACCTTCACGTGTCAAGTGGGGAAACCACCAAACAGGAAGAAAAAAAGCACTTGATTTTGTTTTAAGGTGAAAGGTAGGGAGAACAAAACAAATTCTATTGTAAAAAGTCCCTACAGACAGTATATTCACATGTCATGTATCTTACCGTTCTCTGTCTTTAATTGCTTGTTTAGCCATTAATTTCCTTAATTCCTCCAAATGTTGGAGCTCTTTTTCTTCCTGTTCTTGCCACTTCAGCTGTTTCTCAGCCAAGTACTTTTTAACCTAGAAGTTGAACAAACAGTGAACAAACCAACGACCGTCCATAAGCCTAATTTCCAAGAAGAGTTCAGACACCTGTAGACAGGAATCTGTGTATAAGCCCAAGTTCAGCGGCCGAAAAATGTACTGTGTGTGCCATGAGTCTTTGATTACACTCATAACATAAAGCAGTTAAACCCACATAAGGTGATGGCACAGTCATGGCACCTTAATTTGGCTGTGGGAAGTAACAGTTATGCATACTGGCACCACAGCCCTCCAGTCAGTTCTCATATGGAAACCCCAACACGCTGCTGCCCGTGATCTCCTGTGCTTCCTGACCTTGTGGCTCCTGTCAGCACGAAGCACAGCTGGCCTGGCCTGCCTCTACCTGTTGGTAACACACAATAGTACCAACATGTAGTAATACAAGCCAGATTCCACACCCTCTCCATGACATACTGTTTTCTTTTCTGCATTACACTGAGCCCTCTGCTCAAGCCACGAAGAGCTGGGGTGACATGACAGATCTACAAGTGGTAACACTTGCAGTTTCTCTTTGCCAGCCACTCCTTCATTTCTACCTTTTCTTCCCAGTCGACTTGCAGGTACCAGAAGAAAAAGACAAGTTGGGACACAGAGATAATGACATGCCCTGATGTGCCTCAAATCAGCAACAAACAGAAAAACAGCCAGAGCACAGCATGGTGCATCACCCTGCCACAGGGCTCACTGAGGAAGCCCCGGACCTGTTAGAAGCAGTGGATTTCCTGGCAATTGCTGCAATCATCTGTGTCACTGACTGATCACACTGAATTTAGGCCTCTCCTGGAGATGTTAGCTGGAGCAGCAAAGTTCCTCCTCTTATGCAGTATACCTCGTGAAGCAAAATTTGTAACTGTTCTGGTTCAAAATAACACAGGTCTTCCCAACAGTGCTTCTATTTCAGCATTGCTAACTTACAAGTCACTTGTCTCCTTAGGGCATTCTTTATGCATGGAGAACATGAATACAAGGACTCCAGAGAAGCATTCTAATAAAAATGGTCATCAAATCCTGTTTGGAATACTTTTAAAACAAAACTCTCTCTTTTGGAATTATTCTGCATCCCACACTGTCTGAAGGAATTTTCATAATCTGAATAGAGGCCAATGGATATTTCTGAAATTCGGTATTTAAATACACAGGAAGAAAGTCTGTTCTGCAGACTAATTGAAGAAGCAGAGCATTTGTACCTACTGCCATTGTACCCCTTCTCAGATTTAGGAGTGGAGGCATCTGACGCAGCCTGCCCACCCGGTCACACTGATCACAAATATTCCATCTCCTGGTTTGCTGTCCCAGCACACAGAAGCGGCCACACGCCGTGTTTGCAGCCCTTCCCTGCAGCCCAAGATGTCATTTACTCAAATGAAACATACAACTGCTGACCTCAAACAGCTGCCATCCCATCTGCGCATAGGCAGAGAGCTGTTCCACACAGACATTATCCACAGGCAAGGGGAAGGTGGAAAATATATACAACTAGGTATACAACTATATGTACAAGTAAAATATTTACTCATGAAATTAACATTGCTGGCAGTCAGGTCAACACAGCTCACAGAGCCACCTGCCACTGTAAACACTGCGTGAGAGCAGACAGCTCTACAGAACAAGCCTTAATCACAGAATCACAGAATGGCCAGGGTTGGAAGGGACCTCAAGGATCATGAATCTCCAACTCCCCTGCCACATGCAGGGCCACCAACCTCCACATTTAATGCTAGACCAGGCATTTGGTTCTTTAACAAAAAGAAAAGTAGCAGCACCGTTTCTTGCAGCAAAGAAGCAAACTACCATTAGATCCGGACTCCCCTTTCTCTGTACCTCTCACTGTGGTGCTGGCAGTGGAACCACAGAGGCTCACCATCACACGTCCAGCTGAGCCCACTCACACGCTATCCATCAGACACAGCCAAAATGCCACCACATCTCACCCTGCAAACTCCGATATGGAAAGTGACTGCGGATAACAAACGTACAAGTTCTCATGATTTCTGCTTCCTGCTTGGCTCGTAGCTTTAAATCCAGAGCCTAAATGTGCAATAAGATATCAGCAAACTGCAATTACACAGAAATAAATGTCAGTGTGAAAAAAATCTTACGCACAATGCGGTTTTGTAACACAGTGCACATAATCTTGAAAAATTCCCCTGCGTGTATTTGTAGAAGTTCTGTTTTTAAAGTTCAGTTATGGTGTCTACTACCACAAGCAAAGCAAAAGTAAAGAGAAAATCCAGACTGACTGAAGCTGACCCGAGACTGCTCTCAAGAGAAAGATTTTCAAGGCCAGGTTGGAGGGGGCCCTGGGCAGCCTGGGCTGCTCTGAAACGTGGAGGTTGGTGGCCCTGCGTGTGGCAGGGGGTTGGAGATCTGTGATCTTTGAGGTCCCTTCCAACCCAACCATTCTGTGATTCGGTGATTTCTCTGCCTGTTTTTTCACACACATAAATGTTCTTTTCTGCACATTTGAATCTGAAGTTATACTCTTAAATATAAATTATTATAATAAAATATAATTAAAATAATAATTAAATTATAGTCTTAAAGATAAATAGAATAAGGATAAAAAAAAAACAAATTAAAACAAGTATAAAGCCATGAGTTGTCTGGTCAGACCTCAGAGCAGACCCTACTTCCAGCAGAACTAAAGAGCTGTTGATGTCCCTTCTTATCTGAATTTTTTTTCTTAGGAAAAGTGAAAGCATTCTGAGTATTACGAAGGAAAGAGAAACATCTCATTGAAGTGACTTTTGGACAATTTTCTAACTATGTGATTTAGGACAGCTTGGCAGGAGGACGTATTCTGCCAAGAATGCATCTATAATCCTTAAGATACATGGCAGGAAAGGAAGAAGATCGGGTGACAAATGTAAGCAGAAACTTCTTCAGCTAGACAAGAACCTGGATGTGTGCAAAATGCAAAGCCGTGACAAGAACAGGGAAGTCACAAATCAAATAAAACTGATTAGAAATTAGGCAGCTTTTCAAATGTTGGCTCTGGGGACTTAGAACAAGGAGAACTAACGAGTGGACAGCAGTCCACCTGCAGGCAAGGCTTCAGCAAAGCTTCGGCTTCTTTTCTCCAGGTGCCACTTCCATTCCGGTGCCCCTTTGCAGCACTGTCTCTACAACCCTTCAGCAGTCGTGCACAACTACCAGCAGGAGCCTTCAGCACGGGCTGCTGCTTTTGCCCCGTTTGTCGTGGCAGAGAGACGTGTCTCTTCAAACAGAGCACAGAAAAAATATTTGAGTGCTATAACAGCAGATAGGGAAAATCCAAGTGGTGAAGGATTTTATTTCCATTTTTCCGCTAAGGCATTTGTTTCCAGCAGCCTGCAAGTCGTTTATTTTGGTCTGCTATCATCTCCTTTCTGCTTTTACTAAGTGTTGTAAAGTAAATTGCTTTAGTAATAACTTAAGCAAATTGCTGTAAAAATAGATAGCTTCATTTTTTTCTGCAAGGACTATCACTGCAAGAGACACATCTACTGAAATGAGTTTCCATCAGTTACTAGGGAGTCTAATTGCCCATGTTTTAGTCCCATCAGTAAACATTTGCTCCCACTAAGGCACATCACACAGAAACTAGGAGGGTACATAAAGAAAAGAAGACAAAGTCTAAGGGAAAACATGATAACTTACATGAAGATTTCATTTTCCTTCCTATTTGCCCAAGCTTTCTGCAGTGAGGCACAGACTGATGCCACTACAGCCTCCAAGACACACTCTGAAAGCAACTCTGCTTGAAACAGTTCAGGCCTTTCTTATCTCTTCTTCTAATTGCCATGTTATAACAACACAGCTCTTAGTGCCTCTCCTCACAAACATGTTAGCATGAGAAGTCCCATTACATTAAAGGAGTTCATTCACTCGCCAGCATCTGAAAGACCAGCCAATAACAACCTATAATATTCTCCTACTTACTCGTTCCAGAAATAATTTTGCAGTCTTAGCAAATATTCCACAGGTAAATTGGACTCTATGCAAGCCAGATTTCATTGCAAAAGTAATCAGAAAAAAAGGGCACGATTTTAATACTAAAACCTCCTGGATTTGTTTCCTATCCATCAAATAGAAAGGTCAACAGAAATACAGACGCGATAATTTGATTTTATAAACACTCCATATTCCCTATTTCTGATTTCTATTAAGTTGAAGTTCAGATTTAGGTGGTGACCACACAAGTGCTTAGAATAATGTCCTGCAGACCTGCGATACCCTGAGCTGGTTAATAGCATCGCTGTGCTCCAGGTTCACTTTTAAGGTCCTTGTGCTGCAAAGTGCAGAGCGCTGTCTTGCAGACAACATGCTGTAAAGCCCATTTGCTGCATTGCAGCATATTTAACTGCAGCTTTCATAGTCTTTGCCACACTGCTGAGAAGCACAGGACTGTAAGAGCCCAAAGCCTCTGGTGCCTCAGTGCTGAGGCTGGGTGACATCCAGATAGCTCCAAGCACTGTCTTTGTGAGACCCTTTTGTTAGGAGCAAAGTAACACAGATGCACAAGCAGAGGCAGGTTTAAGGCTAAAAGGGAAGCACCGGGACTCCACGGGCCGCTGATCTCCGTACTGACACTAAATCTGCTCCAAGAATACAGAGCAGCCAGATCAGCTGAAGCTTTTAACGGCAGTTGTAAATCACGAATGCAGAAATACTTAAAAAAGTTTCTCATACTTTTTCTTTCTCCTGAGCTCTGCGAATCATTTCCTGCTTTTTCTGTAGCCTTTCTTTCTCATCTTCCTTTTCTTTTCTTCTAGCAGCTACAGCAGCTTCCAGCTCAGCTGCCTCCTCTTGTTGTGCTCTCCATTGTAGGACCTGAGAGAAAGAATTGAAAAGACTGTTTAAACAGCTGTGCAGGAGAATGCGTGCAATGTTGTGATCCTGCTAAACTGACACTGGTAAGGAAACCCGTGTGATCCATTTTCAAACTGAAATTTGTAACCTGTCAGCAATACGTAACCATTCAGGTAGCGTTGTCTTTCTGCATATTAATTTATATCACAGCTGACTTGTGTATTATGCAGTAAGAACACGTGTGGAAAGATTAGGTAAAATTGCCAAAGGAACCTCGGCAACATCGGATCTTAAATCTTTCCAGCTCTTGGACTTTCAATAACGCTTAAGTTTCTTAATGACCCCATCATTTCCTTTATGAAGGGATCTGTACTGTGGCACTCAGGGCAGTCTGGTGAAACGCTCCTGACAGATGCTGCCAGTGCCCAGGAGTAGGAAGGGAAAGCTGTTATTCCTCAGAAGCAAAACGCAGCTGATTGCCTTGCAGCCATTCTCTAAAGCACGGACACAGTCGGGATTAAGCTGCTGTAGCCTGAGAAATGGCAAACGATCGCCTGAGCCTCTGTCATTAACTATCCCCACCCCAACCCACGGAAGTGCCCTGTTTGCTCCGTGCAGTACTTGACCGTGAGTCAAGCAGGGAAAAGTGAAAATGATCACAAAACCAGCAAATCAGAGGAACAGACGGAAATGAGGAGTCAGCACAGGCATTAGCGCTGTGGGTGTAAAGCGGACGCGCAAACAGGAAGAGACCTGGGCAGCGAGCTAACAGAGCAGCCTCAGGACCAGAGAAGAACGGCTGTACCAAGATACCCCAGCAAGTAGACCAGCACGCGGTGCGGTGCCAGCCCAGGGCAGTGGGACGCGATGCCCTGCGTGGCCCCAGCCAGCTCCGTAGCCGTGCGCTGCTCGGCAGCCCCAGCTGACGGCCCCGGCTGTCCGCGCTGTGGCAAGCTGCCCGCGCGGGACGGATCCTGCTCAGCATCCCGAACCCACCGCGAGGCACCGCTGCGTGCTGCTGAACGGGCCGTGTCAGCAGGCAGTGACTGCTTCCCGTGCCCTGCAGTGCGTTGCTCGCAGCGGGGAGCCCCGACTTCCCCCGGCGCTGTCGCGAGCAGCTCATCTGCTACGCGTGGCTTTCAATGGGATTAACGCTGTCTCCCGGCTGCTGGCTTGCCAGCTCTTTTGGCAATGGTTTTCTGAAGTGTTAGCAGACCTCCACGTTCCTCAAAAGAGTGAGCCTACAGCCATTCCTCACCTGGCTTTCTATACTACTGGGGGTACTTGCATACTGGCAGTAAAGCATCTCGTTTGCATTTTGCCATCTTTAATGCATTTCTCCGGCTGCACTGTGCACCATTCATTCTCTCCCATTCCCATGCAAGGCCTCTATTTGGACTCGCAGAGCGCTGGCGGTCCGTGTCCCCCAGTGAGCAGATCTCTGCAGGACAGATCCCATGTTCGCCCCTCTGTGCTGAGACAGCACTTCTACTTTCCTCTTTGCAGCCAATAGACCCAGGGCATCTTCAAGCTGATGTCCCATTGCGTTGTTATTCTCCCAGAGCACATACAACCTTTTCCAGCTTCAGCTCCATTCCCAAAGCTAAGAACTGCAGTGGGGGTGAGTGAGTCTTATACTTTGAAATGCACAGGGCCAAGCTGTGCCAGCAGACACCAGTGGGGATTTGAGTGTGTGCTCACATAATGGCAGTCAACACAGAGACAGCTATCTTTTTCTATTATTATTATTTTGGCTATTCTTAGAAAGGATTTTGAGCTGGAATTCAGAATTGTATACTATGGAAAGAAAATGTTAAAACATTACTGCTGTATTCCTCAGCACAGATGCTGCTCTTTATAGATGATCTTTCTCCTCAGAATTTTGAAAACATTCCCTTAGTAGAAGCTCATATCTTGGCTATATAAGTAAAAACAAACAAACAAACAAAAAAATGAAAACCATTTACTGCAGTTTCTTTGGCAGTGGTAAAATTACCCTTTCGCTCCTAAAAAGAAAAAAAACCCAAGCATAAAACCCAGCCCTTTCAGCCTGCCAGAGCTTAAGCAGGAGCATTAGAACATGAACGTGGAAGAACACGCAGCCATTTCCACTGCATGTTCGAAACAGCAAAACAGACTGAAACAAAAACACTGATGAAGCTTTCAAATCTAATAACAAAACAAAGGAAGAATGAAATCTGTGAGACGTGTGTGCAGACTGGGGCTAAAATAAACTGCTGGGAAACTGACAGAAAACTGAAACTGCTGTAATAACAACACTACTTGAGATACTCTGAACTTAAGCGAGCCAGAGTTAAAATACATATCCAGAAATTGCCTTTTTAAGCTTGCATTTTCCTTATCCCTGCTTTGCATTCGCCTCAAGCTCCTTAGAATAATGACAAGTGCCAGCGTAAGTGGGGTCAAGATGTGCTGCAGCTTCAGCCTCCTTTAAGTCTGAGAACCCTCCTGATGCCTTACTGACCTTCACCAGATATTAATTACCTACTTACCAGGATCTCTTTCATTTGTTTTATTTCAGCCATTAGTTAGCATGCTGAACCATTAAAAAGGTTTTACTAAATCTGCAGCTAACTGAAACTTCAGGGGAACTTTATCTCAGTACACATTTACAATCAGAAGTGTCCCAACACAGAGCCTGTCACCAAGGTAACTGATTAAAGGAAAGCCTATGGCAATAAATCAGTACATTGCATCTGATACTAAAGATACCAAAACTAGTCTGAAAACATCTCAAGCTTCCTTACTTGTTCATTTTGGTTAGCAATAGCGCTCATGGCACGTATGTTACACCAGCCTCATGACAAGTCTCTCCCTAGTTACATGCATATAACTCTTCTCTTAGTGTCCTTTCATTCATGGCAGAGATCACTATCAGGGTGTGACCGAGATTTTCAGCAGGTTACATACAAATAAGTGGGCATAACAAAGCATCAAATATAGGATTTCACTCATCTGCATCACAAAACATGCAAAAATGTTTACCAGCCAAAACTGATGCACATCAATAATAAATACAGTGCTTACCTCCACTGCTTTCCCCAGCGCTATCTGCATTGCCCTAAATCACTACTAAACACAAGCATTTACTTAGTGGATATAATCTGCTTTCCACTTTCATCTAATCTAGTTAGGATTTCCAGGTGTATGAGTGCATTGCAGAACAAGAAGATAGAACAGAATGAGCAGAAGGAAGGAAAGTTTCATTATATCATACTTCCCCTCAATACCCATTTACTCTTTCCAGGAGGCAGCACATGAAATTAGGTTACACCATCCCTGCCCACTCCCACATTCATCCGATCAGTGCCTTTCACTAAGGCAAAAGAAGAATCACGTTCTTTAAAAAGCGATTTGCTGTTGCAACAAAAAAGGAAAAACTGGCAGAAGCAGAAAGTGACTGTTTGCAAAATATTTTTGAGAGGCGATTCAGTAGGTTGGCACTATGTCATGTCTGCCCCAAATGAACTGCTGAAGTCATTTAGGATAAAACGCTCTCAACTAAACTAAGCTAAATTAAAATGCTCTGTTATGTAAGAGATTCCAAAAACTAGGCGTTGAGCAGCTGAGTCTAACGTCAAAATGATTCAGTTTTTAAACCACATTTGAGCATTACAACCATCTTTCTGCTAGTTCTGGTCTCATGGTCTCACCTTACGCTGCGGTCAGAATGCCTGTATAGGGGAACTTCTCAGAAAGCACCACCCAAAGAAGGCACAGGCCAGATTTCAAATCAGATTCCTGCTAGCATTGGCGCAGCTTGTGAAATAAGGAACTAGACTGCCTTGACTCATGACAAAAAGGGACCTGGTGTGCTGCCTCGTGTAGAAATCAAACCTTCACGTGTATCTGATGCAGCCAACTGTATCCTGCACTGCATCAACAGAAGTGTGGCTAGCAGGTCAGGGAGGTGGCCGTGCCTCTCTGCTGAGTCCCCTGCAGTGCTCTGGGACCCCCGGCATGAGGACATGGACCTGCTGCAGTGGGTCCAGCGAAGGCCCTGGGGATGCTCAGGGCGCTGGGACAGCTCTGCGTGGGGACAGGCTGAGGGAGCTGGGGTTATTTAGCCTGCAGAAGAGAAGGCTCCAGGGAGACCCCATAGGGGCCTTTCAATACCTCAGGGGGCTCTTCATCAAGGATTGAATTGATAGGACAAGAAGTAATGGCTTTAAAGTAATAAAGGGTAGATCCAGGTTAGATTCTAGAAAGAGATTTCTTATTCAAAGGGTGGTGAGGCCGTGGCACTGCCCTGAGCTGAGGTCCCCATCCCTGGAGGTAAGCCAGACTACGGATGGGCCCCAGGCAGCCTGAGCTGGGAGGCAGCCAGCCCACAGCAGGGGCTTTGGAACTGGATGGGCTTTACGGTCCTTTCCAAACCCATCATTGTGCAGTTCTGCGATTCACTTTGCAAACTACGCTTCACTACATATTTGTACTGCTCATAACTCTGTGGAGCCCAATCCTATCTGAGAGCCTCTGGGTCCTGCTGCAAAGTCAACAACAAGAAAGGGCAGGCAGAGAAATGGAACCTCTGTGGCATACATTTTAATACTTCACAATAGTTTACAAGTGACTACAGGACACTCAGTTTCCAAGCTTTTCAAGAAAAACCACTGCGTTCATTGGGATTTTCCTCCAGAGGAGAACAGATACAGGTCTGAAGAAGAAAAACAACCCTTAACAGCATTTCTGATGATCCACTAAAGAATAATCTGGGACCATAGAATGCACCAAAAAATTAATGCGTACTTCATTGCATTCTTCCCTTCTTAGGAGTGCAAAAACTTAACAGGAGATCTCACTGTGTCAGCAGTAAATGCTTTGTTTAATAATTAAAAAAAAAGAAAGGTGGTTAAACTAATATTAAAAATTACACTGAAAAGTGGATCCCCTGTTGTCTGTTTCACAAAGAAACTTGCATCTTAGCAGTACAAGTACTGCCAACATTCAGTTTGGAAAGTTTTTAATTACAACTGGCATTTCAAGTATGTTTCACAGTC